TGGGCCTTAGAGCCTTGTATTTCTTTTAGGCCTTGTATTTCCGGCCATTTAGATTAGGATTTCATTTGATGGTCATTTGAATTTAGGGTTATTTAGGTTGCATGTGTATTTGCATTAGAATGTAATTAGTTTACATTTGGTATGCATTTCGGCCATGTGCAACACATGCACATGGTGTGACCGAAATGCAACTCAAATGGAAGCTTAATTACATTCCAAATGAAGTGCACATGGTGTGATCCGGGTTTAGGCTCCAAAATTTGAATTTTGAATTCAAATTTTGGGCGCCTAAGGTTAAGTAAACCATACCATGGTTTCACTTAACCTTAGGCTAACCCATGGTTCACTTAACCTAATTTTTCCCTATATATTCTACATGGCCGAGACTTGTAGCCACTTTTGGATTAATACATGAGATTTCTTCTTATTGAACTCTCCATCTCCGAAAGTCACTCTAACCTAGACTCTACCCTTCTTGAGCTCCTCTTTTTGTAGAGCTAGGTTAACTTCTTCTTCTCCAGACTTAGCTTGAGCAAGCATTGGTTTTGTGTGGATAATGTTATTTTTCTAGGGTTTGTGGTAAGCCAAAAGGGGATTTATGTGGACCCCGAGAAAATCAAAGCCATCTAAGAATGACCTATTCTTACTAATGTTACTGAAGTTAGGAGCTTCCATGGTTTGGAAAACTTTTATAGAAGATTTGTTCCTAACTTCTCTACATTAGCTTCACCTCTCAATGAGTTGGTGAAGAAGGATATGGTCTTTTTGTGGCAAGAAAAACATAATTTAGCTTTTCAAGAGCTTAAGCAAAAACTCACTCAAGCACCTGTTCTAGCTCTCCCTGATTTTAGCAAAACCTTTGAGCTAGAATGTGATGCTTCAAGTCTTGGCATAGGAGCTGTGTTGTTACAAGGTGGCCATCCCATAGCCTATTTCAGTGAAAAACTTAATAGGGCTGCCTTGAACTACCCTACCTATGAGAAGGAGTTTTATGCTTTAGTTCGTGCCCTTCAAACTTGGGAGCATTATCTTGTGACCAAGGAATTTGTTATTCATAGTGATCATGAGTCACTTAAATATTTGAAGGTTCAACATAAGTTAAATAAAAGGCATGCAAAATGGGTTTAGTACCTTGAACAATTTCCTTATGTCATCAAATATAAGAAAGGCTCTACAAATGTAGTAGCTGATGCTTTGTCAAGAAGACATGTTTTGTTGAACATCTTCGGTTCTCAAATACTAGGGTTTGATGACATCAAGGAGTTGTATGAGAAAGACCTTGATTTTGCTAACTTTTATTTTGTATGTATTCAAAAACTTTATCAAGGGTACTATATTTCTGAGGGGTATCTTTTTAAAGAAAATAAACTTTGTGTACCCCAAAGATCTATTAGGAAACTCTTGGTAAAGGAGAGCCATGAAGGTGGGCCCATGGGGCATTTTGGAATTGAGAAGACTCTTTTACTTTTAAAAGAGAAATTCTTTTGGCCTCATATGAAAAGAGATGTTCAAAGGTTTTGTACTAGATGCATAGCTTGTCTTCCATTTCCATGGATTTCATCCTTGGTTTGCCTAGGACCCAAAGAGGAAAGGATTCCATCTTTGTGGTTGTGGACCGTTTTAGTAAAATGGCACACTTTATTCCATGCCACAAAGTGGATGATGCAAGTAGTATTGCTAAGTTATTCTTTCAAGAAATTGTGAGACTCCATGGGTTACCCAAAACTATAGTCTCCGATAGAGATGTTAAGTTCCTTAGCTATTTTTGGAAAACTCTTTGGGCAAGGCTAGGAACTAAACTCCTATTTTCTACCACATGTCATCCCCAAACTGATGGGCAAACTGAGGTAGTAAATAGGTCTCTAGGGACTATGTTGAAGGCAATCTTTAAAGGCAATAAAAAGTCATGGGATGACTATCTCCCACATGTGGAGTTTGCCTATAATAAAGTGGTCCACAAAACCACTAACATGTCTCCTTTTGAGATAGTTTATGGATTCAATCCTCTCATCCCTTTGGATTTATTGCCTCTTCCAGATGTTGCTTCCTTTATTCATAAAGAGGGTACATCTAGGGCTGAATTTGTTAAAAAATTGCATGAGAGGGTTAGAAGTCATATTCAGACTCAAACTGAAAAATATCAAAAATATAATAATAAGGGTAGAAAGAAAGTTGTCTTCAAGGAAGGTGACTGGGCTTGACTGCACCTTAGGAAGGATAGGTTTCCTTCCAAAAGAAAGTTCAAGCTTAGTCCTAGAGGAGATGGACCCTTTCAAGTCCTTAGGAGAATAAATAATAATGCCTATGTCCTAGATCTCCCTTCTGAATATGGTGTTAGTCCTAGTTTTAATATTTCTGATTTGTCTCTCTTTACACGACTGGCTACCCAAGAGGAGGATGTTTTGGATTTGAGGACAAATCCTCTTCAAGAGGGAGAGGATGATGGAGGAGGCCCATGGGTCAAGGGCCCAACTACTAGGGCTATGGCAAGGAGGATACAAGAGGAGTGGGCCCAAGCTCAAGAAAAGCCCATCACATTATTTAGTTGGGCTTTGTCGCAAGCCCAAGTAGATTAGGAGTAATGTAGGGTTGGGCCTTAGAGCCTTGTATTTCTTTTAAGCCTTGTATTTCCGGCCATTTAGATTAGGATGTCATTTGATGGTCATTTAAATTTAGGGTTATTTAGGTTGCATGGTATTTGCATTAGAATGTAATTAGTTTACATTTGGTATGCATTTCGGCCATGTGCAACACATGCACATGGTGTGACCGAAATGCAACTCAAATGGAAGCTTAATTACATTCCAAATGAAGTGCACATGGTGTGATCCGGGTTTAGGCTCCAAAATTTGAATTTTGAATTCAAATTTTGGGCGCCTAAGGTTAAGTAAACCATACCATGGTTTCACTTAACCTTAGGCTAACCCATGGTTCACTTAACCTAATTTTTCCCTATATATTCTACATGGCCGAGACTTGTAGCCACTTTTGGATTAATACATGAGATTTCTTCTTATTGAACTCTCCATCTCCGAAAGTCACTCTAACCTAGACTCTACCCTTCTTGAGCTCCTCTTTTTGTAGAGCTAGGTTAACTTCTTCTTCTCCAGACTTAGCTTGAGCAAGCATTGGTCATATTGGTGCTACTTGGAGCTTTCTTCCTTGACAACCTTCCAAGGAATCCGAGAAGCATTGAAGTGTTCTTGAGGATTCACAAGTGGAACCTCATCACCAACTCAAATAAACTACCTGCAAGCTACCCTGTCTTGATCAAGAAGTGCATTTAAACTCTATAGCCTCGTGAATCTTTGATTTAATACCAATGGAAATTAGTTGATGTAAGGGAATTTAAAAGAAACAAAAATCGTAAAATAAAAAGAGAAGAGAAAGAGGAGGAAGAAAAGAGGGGAAAGGTGTTGATTAAGTATAAAACATAAAACAATTTACTCATATTGGGACTAAAACAAGTAATTTCTAAATATATGGACTAAGAGATAAATGTTGTGTAATTGTATGGATTAAAATGTAAAATAATGTTAGTGTAGAGACTAAAATGTAAAGCACAACAGCTTCCTCCTTGTCTTAAGAGTATCAATCAGTGGTGAGAGAAATCCATAGACTGCTCCACCTACTCTAACAAAGTCAATCATTGGCCCTGAAATCAACAACACCAACACTACACGTGCATACAATAAGTTTTAGCTAAGGCCTTAATTATTTATATCTGTCAGTTAGGGAAATCAACATGAGACATGAGAAAACAAATACAAATTTAAAGCATTGAGCAAGAACTCGAGGGGCTGGAAGCCAACGAAAGCACTTCATAACACATTAATGATATGTTTGATTGGGGTGAAAGGAAAATATAGAGGAAAGTTGACTTTACGAAACAAAAATTCAAAATTTTCCTTCCTTCCACCTTTGTACAGAAGAATGCATTATTGTTGAAAATAACTTGTAATTAAGAAAAATGTATGCATCCGTCCATCACAGTGATGTATTTCACTATTTTGTAAAGTAATCATCAAGAAATACCATCTTTTGTATTCATGGTGTATTTCCCAAAAAATATATACAACCAAGAAGCCGAAATAACACAGAAGAATGCACTCATACATAGTCATTGACATTTACCTTTGATGTTGCCTCGAAGCCATAGACAGATGAAGGAAGGTGGTAAGCAGCTGAAGTTCAACAATGAAGCCCAAAATCCCTTGGTATGTTCCATTGCTCGCTCTCCCAGATGTTTGAAAACCACTGCTTCAAACTCATCTTGCTTTCAGCTCCTCCAAGCATTACCTTCAAGTAGAAAAGACCCACTTTTGGCCACTTTAATTTAACCTTCAGCAAGTGAAGATAAACATCGGAAATTATATGCCCAGATACTAAACCAATTTTCGGCAAGAATAGGAATTCCACTTTGAATATCTTGCATATCACATCATACTCTATGGCTGTATGGCAGAGTCTATTCAAAATTGAACTCTCTGTAGAACCTCCATCACAATAGGCTCATGCTTATACATTTACAAGCACTTTTATCTTGGAAGTCTTTAGGTTCTGATCCAACTGCAACCACGCTGCTTTGTTGTCCCAAATTCTCTCATCATATCCCTCAGCTTAGCTGCTTCTTCCCATTGACCTGCTGCCGCACATATATTTGATAAAAGCACATAAACTGATGGGTTGTTATGGTCTCTTTCTAAGAGAAGTCTAGCAACTGTTCTTCCTAGGCTTAAATTACCATGAGCAGCACAAGCACTGAACAATGACCAACATATATTGGAATGTGCTCCAAAGTATCCACCTTTAATTACTCTCTCTGCCTCATCAAGGTATCCACTGCGACCCAGCAGATCAACTATGCAAGAAAAATGATCCACACTTGGCACAAATTCATAAACTTTCACCATCGTATAAAAAATACGGGCACCATCATCAACCAAACCTGCATGACTGCAAGCAGAAAGAACTGCAGTAAAGGTAGCCTGGTCTGGTTTGATTCCAGGTGTGGTTTGCATTGCCTCAAAACAGCACACGGCTTCTTCGCCCTGTCCATGTTGTGCATAAGCAGATATTATAGCATTCCAAGAGATTGTATCCCTTTCCATCATTGCATCAAATACTCTTAAAGCCCTGTCTAAAGATCCACATTTGGCATACATTGTGACCAGGGCATTTCCCAAAGAAACTTCTGAAGAAAAACCATGTCTCAGAATGAAACCATGAACCTGTCTCCCATGACTCATGGCTGACATGCTAGAACAAATGGTCAAAACAAGGCTGAGGGAATAGGCATTTGGCTTGACATGCGTACTAATTAATGCAGAGAATTGCTCTAACCCTTGCAACAGGCATCCATTCATCAAAAACCCAGATATGATACTGTTCCAAGATATCAAATTTTTATAGGGAACACCAGAGAAGATTTGAAATGCACGTTTTATCTTCCCATGTCTGCAGTATGCAGAAACTAATGCATTCAAAACTTCAATTTTCCCAAACCCACTTTTGCACAGAAGGGAGTGGATCATCTCCACAACTTGCAAAGAATCTGAAGCAACCAGCAAACTTCCATAAGTAAACTCATCCGGTTCAATTCCTTCCCGCCTCATTTTCAAATAACTCAATATTGCTTCTTCCTCAAGATCCTCTTGCAAAAATGTAGAAACCATTATGTTCCATGAAACAACATCCCTTTCTTCCATTCCCTCAAAAATATCTCGAACCTCATTAACCCCAAACCCAGAATACATAGTCATCATTGCATTGTTCACAGCAACACAACCAACAAAACCCATCTTGATAGCTTGTGCCTGTGCTTGACAACCAGCTCTTAAACACGAACAAGAACTCATGACACTCACAAAGGTAACCTCCGTTGGACCAAAACCACCGTTTTGCATGTCTCTGAACATCAAAAACGCATCCTCACTTCTCTCCACACTTACAAAACCATCTATCATTGCATTATAGGTAACATGATCGCACGTGCTACCTTCTTCTGCTTCCTCAAACACCTCACAAGCATCCACAACACACCCACACTTAAAATACATGGTGATCAAAGAATTAACCACAGAAGTCCAACCCAAAAACCCACTTTTTATAACCACCGAATGCACGTGCCTTCCATAATCCAAAAGCTCCAAAGAGCACAAACTCAACATTGTGGCAAAAGTGTATTTATCAGCCTTAACACCCATTTTGTGCATGTCCCTGAAACAAAAAATCGTTTCAGTCAATTAAAATCACAAGTCAAACATATACACACATTTTCAATTAACTTATAAATAAAAATGAGAAAAAAAAACTACTAAATTAAGAGGAATATTGTTAACAGAACAGGTAACCTATCATTAGGCACCTAAAATGAGTAACAAATAATGAATATGATGAAATATCAACTTTTAATTTTTATGGAGCTTAATTTTATGCATTGTTAATATAGTTTAAACTAATCAGATAGTTGAATACGATTCGTTAGTTTCAGTAAATTCTTTGATACTTAATTCAATTCCTAGCTGTAAATAGTTATTTTAGCCTTTCAATTTCGTCATTCAATTCGGAAGGTACTGATATATAGGTAGAAACTAAAAAAATATCAAATACATCCTTCAAAGTACAAATTAATACTCGTATAAATCAAAATTTTTAAAACAACATGTGACTACAGAGAAAGCATTCAAGGATCAAAACGACAATAAATAATTAAATTTGAAGACTAATTTAAAATTTTAACCACTTATTTGATATTTTCTTAATTTCAAACTTCAAAGACTACCGACAACTTTCACAAATAAAAATGACTATTTACTTTTAAAAAAAAATTATAGTTATTGAAATATGACACTTTTAATATTGTTATCGTTAAAGTAAAAAAAGAAAACATAAAATGCATGTCAATATATTCAAAAAATCCTTTATGCATTCATTATTTACTTTCTTATCAACCTATGATCAAAATTTGATCACCTGAACAAGTCAAAAGCAAAAGCTTCATCTCCATGGCCATTCTCCGCGCACCCCGTGATGATGGCGTTCCAGACCGCCACGTGTCGCTTGGGAATTTCCTCGAACAGCTGAAGCGCGTGGCCAACGTGGTCCAGTTTGGCGCAAGCGGAAAGCAGCGTGGTCCACGAGTACGCGTCGGGGCAACTGATTTCCGCAAAAGCGCGTTTGACGGACCGGAGGTCGCCGGCCTTGGCGTAGAGCGAGACCAGGGAGTTGGCCACGTGGGAGTGGGCCCGGAGCCCGGTTCGCACGGCGTGGCCGTGGAGCTGGGCCCCGAAGGCGGCCCGGCGCGCGTTGGCGGCGGCGGTGACGGCGGCGGAGAGGGTGTAGTGGTCGGGACGGAGAAAGAGGGAGGCGTGGGCGTGGACGAAGAGTTTGAGGGATTGGGTGTGTTGGTGTGCGCGAGTGAGGGATGCGACCAAGTGGTTCAGCTTTATGAGGTCTTCGTTCGAAAACCAAACCTTCATTTCTCATTGTTTTACGGTTCGAGGATTGTGTGTGTTGGTTTGGCTTTAGAAGCCCGCCAGATTTTGGCTTCAAAATGACTCATGTTGGTCTATTCAGGTGGACTCTACCATGGATTGGTTAAACTCTGGTCTATTGTGCACTAGCGAAGATACCGGTTGTAGTAGGTAAACGAGGCTCCATTGGGTATGCTATCATGGTATGTAGTCATTTGAAATTTTTACAAAAATTGCAGTTTGGTCCTAATAGCTACTATGGGAGTCGCTCTTTCTAAAGAAAAAATTGTATGTGTGTGTACAGGAGAAGGGGAGAGTGAAAGAGGACATGGATAGCTTCGGTATTTAAGAGATGGTGGTTACCAAAATGAAATTTGGGCCAATATTTTTATTTGTTATTTTTTTCAAAATTTAAACAATTATTTAATTAATTTAGGTTGGACTTACAATTTTTTTTTTCTTTTTTCTCAACTATTTAAACCAGTAGAGTTGGGCCTTATTTTAGGAGATTATGGGACTTTTTTTTTAAAAAGAATTATAGACCTTTTTTTATAGACTTTAATACTTAATAAATATATTACAAAAAAAGTAAATAAATAAATTACATTTAAATTTTTGTAAGTATAATTATATCAATTTTAAGCTATTTTTTTTATAATAATTATTACTAAATTTAAATGCAAATCAATAAAAGAAGATAATAACAAATCACATACATATACATTGTCTTACTACTTTTAAGGTTGGTCCATAATCCTTCATGATAATTTATCATAAAAACAACCAAATATAATCATTCTCTAAGCCTCTTGTAAGGGAATTCACATTTTCTGAAGATACTCTGGTACTGTCAATCTTCCAAGTTCCAACTAGGGAATTCACATTTTCCAACACTATCATCAACCACGTGCAAATGGTATACAAAGCTAGCTACTGGAGACATAAGTAAAGCAAGTAAAAATTAAAAAGATCAAGTATAAACTCGTGGCGAGTTAGATATACAAATATTGATAAGTGTTCCTGTGTTAGGAAATACACTCCAATTATCCTAGCTGTGTCAGGTCGGGTCTTGGATCTCGGTCTTCTCGTTTTTGTCCGGGTAGTCCGAAGCGAGGTGAGGGGTGCCTGCAAATACTAGTATACAAAGGGTCTTTTACGTCGTGTATTTTGACCCTTTTAC